TACTCTAAGCCAAGGACTTAGCTCAGTGCCTGGCACATACTAGGTGCTCAATAAAAGCAGTGTCTTTTTTTGTTGTTAAGATCTTGCTCTGTTGAGACTGGCTCACTGCAGCCTCAATCTCCCAGGCTCAAATGATCCTCCTGCCTCAGCCTCCTGGGACCACAGGCATGTGCCACCATACCCAGTTAATTTTTAAATTAAAAAAAATTTTTAATTCTTCTGCCTCAGCCTCCCTAGTAGCTGGGATTACAGGTGCCTGCCACCACACCTGGCTAATTTTTGTATTTTTAGTAGAGACAGGGTTTCACCATATTGACCAGGCTGGTCTCGAACTCCTGATGATGGGTGATCTGCCCGCTTCAGCCTCTCAAAGTGCTGGGATTACAGGTGTGAGCCACCACGCCTGGCCCATTTTTGTTGTTTCTAATCCTAGTCTCTACAGAATTAGGCAGGGCCTCACACAACCCAGCTTGGCTGCCTCTCCGCCCTCACCCCTCTCGAAGCTCACCCAGACCCTGTGCCCACTGACAGTGTCCCTGTCCCCGTGCCTTCCAGTACGTCTGACGCTGGCATTGTGCTTCTGGGGCCTGGGAGACCCACCCTCCTCTTGGCCGCCACGTGGGCTTCTCATGCCTGTGCCAGCATTTCATCCTGGGAGAGGTCCTCTGGATTATTCCCCTTCCTCTGGCCTTGTAGGTCAGGCTCTCAGGCTTGTAGGAACCTGGGCGGCAGCCTCTTGCTCTGCAGGCAACTGTCCCGTCCCCACCAGGCTCTGGACACCTGGGGGCGGGATCTGGGTTTATTCCCTTGGCTCCTTTCTGCCCTGCCCAGTCTGGCAGGCAGCCACATGCCAAACTGATTGTTGAGTGGAGGAATTTAACTTGGTGTTCAGAAATCTCTGCTGGAATTTTCCACTGAGATAAGCAAGGGTAAAAGGTTTGGAGGCAAGGCAGACACCACAGTTCCTGCTTATCTCAGAGGCCTTAGGAGATAAGGACGTTCTGGAAGAGCTGAACCTCAGATAATTATCACAGCTGAGTTCCATTTTCAAGCAAGGCTCTGTAAAGAAGGCCCGAGAAGGGGGGCACCACTTCCCCAGAAAGTCCCCGAGGGCCTCGGCCTAGGGTTCCCTGGCCAGAGTGGAGTCACCTGGCCACTTCTGCAAGAAAGAAGATACAGATGCGTTAACAAGCTGAACCACAGGGGGGTCTCCTCGCAAGGAGCAAGGTGGGCACGCATCCTCGGCAGGCAGTTAGCAATGCCCACTGTGAACCCTGAGGGCGGCTTCAAAATCTCGGAAATATTTCTGTAGCAGCAGGCCTGGCTCCCCACTAAACCCCGGGGCAGTAAAGGTGGAAAGTTACAAAGGACCAACTTGGATAGAAAGGAACCCACATGGAATCCACGGACTCAGAAAAAGCCCGTCACTGTCGATATGTGAGCAGAAACATCAGTCGGCAGGAGGGTTCAGATTCTTCAGCCACTGGGTGGGTGGGCGCGCAGGCCGGATCCTCTCCGGGGGGCCTTCCAGCTCCACAGTTATGTAATTTTGTGTGTTTTGGAGGGAGAATGTGTGAGTGCCTGCATACGTGGCCTGTGTAAGTGGCATTGTGAATATTCTCCCAATTAATGCTAATACAGAAAAGTTGATGAAATGCCTAGAGAAAAATGTAAACATTGGTATAGCTGTATTAGGATAATAATTCCGTTTCTGTAAGTAAATTGCTTATGCTCCGTTTTGCCTAATTGCCACGACAAGCAATGATGATTGTGTGACACCACATCTACACAGCATTATGGATACTGTCTGGGCAGTGAGTCCTGACCCGCCTTCCATGGGGTTTGTGTCTGAGCTTGATATCCCATGTCCCCTCGGAAATGTACCTTCTGATTTTCACAAGTGCGCCACAGGCTTCCTGCTCATGCCGATGGCTCTTGGTGCAGAGAGGGATTGACCACAGAAGCTGGAAGTGGAGGGAGGTTTGGAACCCTCTGGCCCAGCCCCCTCGCTTTGGAGGTGAGTAAACTGGTGTTGGGAGGATCTGGCAGGTTTCTCCCAGATGACCTCTGCGGGAGGGGAGGCCATGAGCCCAACACCCTCCAGAGTTGCTGGGTTCTGGCCTTTCACTGCATCCTTGGGCCCTCAGGAGGAGAGTGTCAGGTTGCTTGAGATCAGCATGGGCCCCAGGCCCTGCCACACTGCCCGAGCAGGAGGCGGGCTCCGGCAGTGGGTCCCCTGCCACTCGCCAGCAGTTTGCCAGCCAGCGGCTAAGTCATCGGGGCTGGGAGGGCCTCCCTTATGTGAGCTTTGGCTCAGGCACTATGGGCAACAGATCCTAGGATGGGCCCCGAGACCCCAAGTCCCTGGTGGACACGTCGCTCCCTTGAGTGTGGGTAGGGCTGTGACTATGACGGTGTCACTCCTGAGATCAGGTTATATTATATGGGAAAGGCAAAGGGATTTTGAAGATGGAATTAGGTCCTTCGTCAGTTGCCTGTGAGTTGAACAAAAGGAAGATTGTGCTGGGTGGACCTGCCCTAATCAGGCAAGCCCTTTGAAAGAGGGTCTAGAAGTCAGAGAGCATCTCTTGCTGGCCTTGAGAGAGCCAGCCGCCCAGCGTGAGGGGCCTCTGAGTGCTGAGAGCAGCTGCCCGCAGACGTCAGCAGGAACAGGGGACCTCGGCCTACTGAGGGAACTGAATTCTGCCAACAACCGTGTGGGCTCAGAAGAGGACCCTGAACTCTAGAAAGACCCTCACCTTGACTGCAGCCTGTGAGAACCTGAGCAGAAAACCCAGGGAGGCTGTGCTGTGACTCCTGACCACAGAAACTGTGAGGTCATAAATGCGTGTTATTCTAAGCCGCTGAGTCAGTGAGTGTGTGTCACACATCAGAAGATCACAGGCGTTGACCCTGCCCACCCAGAGATGCTAGAGGTGCGCTGCTGCTTTCACTGCAGGCCGCCACAACACAGGGCTCTTTTCTTGGAGCTGCAGATGCTCTCTGCCCTGTCCCTTGCCACAAATCAGACTTTATTCATGTTTTAGCTCATGTTAATGAACCAGACCTTCTCCACGAGCCTCCATCTAGTGGAAAACAGAGGAGGGGGCATCTTACATTTTAGCTCATCTGACCCTGTAGATACATTGCCCTACAGTAACTCACCATCATCAGGTAAAATGCTGCTTCTCCTGGCCGCCACTGCCTTGCCCCTCTCTCACATGGACACTGGTGCCTGGGTTGGGAGCATGGCCGGTGACTTCGTGGCAGTGTGGGGAGGAATGTATGGTCCTTGGATCCATGAGAGGGCCTCATTCCCCGTGGTCGCTGCTGGAAACATGTGCCGGGATGTCAGCCTCTGAGGTACCACTCCCTGCCTGCACCACCTCCTGAGACTGCCTATCTTGGTGGCTCCTTCTGCTGCCCCTGCCTGGCCCTCAGGGCCCCTCTGCAGCCTCACCAGTCACTTCTATGATCTTACACATGGGCATTGCTCGGGGGTGGCTAGGGATGCTGCTTTCCACAGACGGCTCTGTGCTGTTTGGAGATTGGCCTGAGGTGTTCCAGGGGTCCCCTCTCCCCAGCTGGGACCCTCTCTCACCTGATGGATGGGCTGTTACAGAATCACAGTTATGCTAAAACTGCCTCTCCAGACAAGGCCTGCCTTTCAAACCTGTTGTCTGACTGTAGGCACACACCTCCCACTTTGGGTGTAAGAAGCTGGTTCTTAACCATTTTGTCTTTTTAATTTTTTTATTTTGAGACAGAGTTTCATTCTGCTGCCCAGGCAGGTGTGCAATGGCACAATCTCAGCTCACTGCAACCTCCGCCTCCCAGGTTCAAGCAATTCTCCTGCCTCAGCCTCCTGAATAGCTAGGATTACAGGTGCTTGCCACCACACCAGGCTAATTTTTTGTATTTTTAGCAGAGAGGGGAGCTTGCTATGTTGGCCACGCTGGTCTCGAACTCCTGACCTCAAGTGATCTGCCCAACTCAGCCTCCCAAAGTGCTGGGATTACAGGCCTGAGTCACCGCACTGGCCTCCTTTTGCATTCTTACTATAAAATTGGTATTTGTATCTTCCTCCCATTCTGTGCTCCCCCCAATCCTGCAGGAAGGTGGATTCTTCAAGGGAATTGGGGTGAAGAGAAGTGTGTTCATTCAGCCCTCCATCACATGGGTTACACCATTCCCATAGGCCGAGGCCCTTGGGGACTTTCTGGGGAAGTGGTGCCCCCCTTCTCCTCAGGGCTTCTTTACAGAGCTGTGTTTGAGAATCAAACTCAGCTGTGATAATTATCTGAGGTTTAGCTCTTCCAGAATGTCCCAGCGTGTCATCATTCCCAGCCCTTTCGTTACCAGCCTGGGGGCACAGGATAAGGATGTCATTCAAAAAGATAGAGATTCTCAAGTCTCCAGACTGCCGGGGGCTCAGCTGAGCATGCTGGCAGCATCCAGGGAGGTGGCCACGCCCCAGGGAAGTGGTTTCGTGGAGGAAGAATCCCAGGGGAGGTGTGGACACAGCAGAGCAACACTGCTCTGTGTTAGGACTGGCTAGTCCACCCTGCAGGGATGAGGGGCAGAGCCTCAGCAGAAGCCCAGACCAGTGTCCCCGCACCCGCATAAGAGTCCCCTACTCCCACAGGGAGAGGAACCACTGTGATGGCAGAGCTTATTTCCCAGCAGCCCCATGGGATGGGACCCAAACTAGAAGTTAGGGTGAGTTTGGAGGACATAAAGTGAGCTGGCTGTGATGTTCACAGCAACAGATTTCCATCTCCTCGGCCTCAGGTCCAACCCTGCCACCCCAGTCCTGCTCAGAGATTGTGGAAAGCTTACCTCAAGGAGACTCTTCTTTACCACCAAGCCAGGAAATTTCAACACTGGAGTCTCCTGAAGAATTTGAGACCAGGAGGAAGTCCACCTGCTGCTCTCCTGTGCCCTGAGCCTCCCAGGTCCACGGAAGCCACGCCCACTGCACGCCCAGGTAGCATCCAGCCCAGGGTCTGACCCTGGACTGGCCCACACTGGGTCCAGTGCAGGGTTCAGCCAGGGTTGGCTTCAGTTGACAGGGGGAGGAATTCATTTGACCGAAATACTCTCTTCTCTTCTGGGCTGTTGGTTTTTCAAGTGCAACAAAGATTCAATACAGCTCTAAGGAAGGAGCCAAGAGAAACATTCCATGCCCAAGTGAGACCCCGGAAGTGACACCCCGGAACACAGCTGAGAAACGGGCTCCAGCTGGGTGCCAGCAAGCTCAGGACTGGAATGTGACTTCCGGCAGTGTGCAGGTGCTCCTGGGTCACCTGCTTTGTGGTCCAGCCTCCCGCCCTGCCCCAGGTGACCACATGATCACCGTGGACTTCGCCTTGAAACCTTTTTGGAGGAAAATAAGCCTGACCTTGGGGCTGGCGGCCAGTGGGCACTGCCCTGGTCCAAGGCTGCTGCTCTTGACCTCTGCTCTGCGGCTGTTTTCCATTGGAGAAGAGGCTCCTCCTGTCCCGCCCGTGGAGGAAAGCAAACCTCCCCCTGGGCCAGAGCGAGGAGAAAGGGAAGACAGGAGGCAACTCTGTGGACTGGTGATGACAGGCTCTTCAGCTCCCTGCAAGTGACCGAGCCTGGGGAACAGGTGAGCCATTGTTTAAACCTCTGTGCACTGTGCAGTGTCTGTGTGAGCATGTGCCCGTGTCTGCCTCTGTGTGTGTGAGTCAGCCTCTGTGTGTGTGTGTCTGCCTCTGTGTGTGTGTCAGCCTGTGTGTGTGTGTGTCAGCCTCTGTGTGTGTGTCTGCCTCTGTGTGTGTGTCTGCCTCTGTGTGTGTTGGCCTCTGTGTGTGTGTGTGTCAGCCTCTGTGTGTGTGTGTCTGCCTCTGTGTGTGTGTGTCAGCCTCTGTGTGTGTGTCTGCCGGCCTCTGTGTGTGTGTGTCAGCCTCTGTGTGTGTGTCTGCCTCTGTGTGTGTGTCAGCCTCTGTGTGTGTGTGTCAGCCTCTGTGTGTGTGTGTCTGCCTCTGTGTGTGTTGGCCTCTGTGTGTGTCGGCCTCTGTGTGTGTGTGTCTGCCTCTGTGTGTGTGTGTGTCTGCCTCTGTGTGTGTGTCAGCCTCTGTGTGTGTGTGTGTCTGCCTCTGTGTCTGTGTGTCTGCCTCTGTGTGTGTGTGTGTCTGCCTCTGTGTCTGTGTGTCTGCCTCTGTGTGTGTGTGTGTCTGCCTCTGTGTGTGTGTCAGCCTCTGTGTGTGTGTGTGTCAGCCTCTGTGTGTGTCTGCCTCTGTGTGTGTTGGCCTCTGTGTGTGTGTGTGTCAGCCTCTGTGTGTGTGTGTGTCAGCCTCTGTGTGTGTGTGTCTGCCTCTGTGTGTGTGTCAGCCTCTGTGTGTGTGTGTCAGCCTCTGTGTGTGTGTCTGCCTCTGTGTGTGTTGGCCTCTGTGTGTGTGTGTGTGTGTCAGCCTCTGTGTGTGTGTGTCTGCCTCTGTGTGTGTGTGTCTGCCTCTGTGTGTGTGTCAGCCTCTGTGTGTGTGTGTCAGCCTGTGTGTGTGTCAGCCTCTGTGTGTGTGTGTGTGTGTCTGCCTCTGTGTGTGTGTGTCAGCCTCTGTGTGTGTGTGTCTGCCTCTGTGTGTGTGTCAGCCTCTGTGTGTGTGTGTGTCTGCCTCTGTGTGTTGGCCTCTGTGTATGTGTGTCTGCCTCTGTGTGTGTGTGTGTCTGCCTCTGTGTGTGTGTCTGCCTCTGTGTGTGTTGGCCTCTGTGTGTGTGTGTGTCAGCCTCTGTGTGTGTGTGTCAGCCTCTGTGTGTGTGTCTGCCTCTGTGTGTGTGTGTCTGCCTCTGTGTGTGTGTGTCAGCCTCTGTGTGTGTGTGTCTGCCTCTGTGTGTGTGTCAGCCTCTGTGTGTGTGTGTGTCTGCCTCTGTGTGTTGGCCTCTGTGTGTGTGTGTGTCAGCCTCTGTGTGTGTGTGTCAGCCTCTGTGTGTGTGTCTGCCTCTGTGTGTGTTGGCCTCTGTGTGTGTGTGTGTCAACCTCTGTGTGTGTGTGTCAGCCTCTGTGTATGTGTCTGCCTCTGTGTGTGTGTCTGCCTCTGTGTGTGTGTCAGCCTCTGTGTGTGTGTGTGTCTGCCTCTGTGTGTGTGTGTCAGCCTGTGTGTGTGTCTGCCTCTGTGTGTGTTGGCCTCTGTGTGTGTGTGTGTCTGCCTCTGTGTGTGTGTGTCTGCCTCTGTGTGTGTGTGTGTGTTGGCCTCTGTGTGTGTGTGTGTCAGCCTCTGTGTGTGTGTGTCAGCCTCTGTGTGTGTGTCTGCCTCTGTGTGTGTGTCAGCCTCTGTGTGTGTGTGTGTCTGCCTCTGTGTGTGTGTGTCAGCCTCTGTGTGTGTGTCTGCCTCTGTGTGTGTGTGTGTGTTGGCCTCTGTGTGTGTGTTGGCCTCTGTGTGTGTGTGTCAGCCTCTGTGTGTGTGTGTCAGCCTCTGTGTGTGTGTCTGCCTCTGTGTGTGTGTGTGTTGGCCTCTGTGTGTGTGTTGGCTTCTGTGTGTGTGTGTCTGCCTCTGTGTGTGTGTGTTGGCCTCTCTGTATGTGTGCTCACTTGTTTGTATTTGTGTGTGTCTGTATTTGTTTGTGTCTGTGCGTGTGCCTGTGTGTGCATAATTCAAAGGACAAAGCTGGGGTGGAGACTTCCTTGTTCGGATTTCCGATGGCTCACTAGGTCAGATTCCCGGAAGGAGATTCCTATTTGAATTTTTCTTTGGGAAAATTCCAATTTTAAGGTCTTGAAAAAAAAATATTTCTGTTAATAAGAACTCTTCAAGGAATCCATTTCAAATGACATCAAAATTCCCAATTTAATACCCAGTGATATCTAGGTAGCTTGTCAGATTTTCTTGTAAGCTCCTCTTTACAATCTACATTTTGTTTTCTCTGTATCAAACGGCTGCGCTCTGAATGCAGTGTGCTGGGGTTCTTCTCGTAATGTCGCTGTTCTTCACAGGCCCAGGCAAGCGTGACACAGGGACACATTTGGTAATAGACTCATCAACCAGACCCTTCCCCGGAGTGCCCCCTTTCTCACAAAAAAGACTAATTTCGGGTTTACTCTCCTTTCTTCCCCGCTTTGTGGAAGGGAGGTGTCAGAGATGAAAAGGCCCCAAGTTAAGATGCTGGAGAAGCTCCAATCTTAAATATGCTGTTCCTGAAAACATCTTTCCTTCAGAAGGACTATAATGACCCTACCTTGATGAAGTTCCGGAGGCGGGGTCAGGTGCCACACTTCGAATTCTCTGTTTGGACAGAGGCCTCCAACCTTTCATTATTGAAAGCTTACAACACTGAATCACACAAAAAGTTATATAAGGAAATGTTTACTGCAACCTTATTACAGAGAAAAAATTAAAACCAAGTGAAAATCCAGTACTAGGAAAATGGCGCAGCAAGTTGAGATGGCTGAGGAAACGTTGTGTGTCCATTGAACACGATTTTGAAGCAATGTGGGCGACTGTCTTTGGTATTATATTTAAGTATTTTCAAAACATAGGATATAATTTTATGTTAAAACGATGGGTTTTGGTTTGTTTTTAGGAGTCATAGAAAAAAACTAAAAGTCGGTAAAATACCAATTGTGGCTGTACTAAGGGGTGGAGTTATGGGGAGTCTTTTTTTTATATTGACATTTGTATGTTTGTAGTAAAATAACTACTTTTTTTTTTTGAGATGGAGTCTCACTCTGTCGCCCAGGCTGGAGTACAGTGGTGGGATCTCGGCTCACTGCAACCTCCACCTCCCAGGTTTAAGCAATTCTCCGGCCTCAGCCTCCTGAGTAGCTGGGCCTACAGGTGCCTGCCACCACATCCAGCTAATTTTTGTGTATTTAGAAGACACAGGGTTTTACCGTGTTGGACCGGCTGGTCTCGAACTCTTGACCTCAAGTGATCCACCCGCCTCGGCCTCTCAAAGTTCTGGGATTACAGGTGTGAACCACTGCATCCGGCCTGAAAATAAAAGTTTTTAAAACAAAGAGACATATCATTGTCAAAGGAATGAGATACTGGCATCCCAGTGGTCACAGTGCATTCCTTCAGAGTCCACCTGTTTCAGTGAATTCCGACATGTTTTGGGTCACAGATTTTTTTCTGACTTAGGAAGGGTTTTATTAACCTGTGCAAATAAACAGCATAGAGAACTCGAAGGGATATCTTTGGTTATTTTTAGTTATTTTTTTATTTCCATAGATTTGTGGGGAACAGGTGGTATTGGGTGACATGGATATATTCTTTAGTGATTTCTGAGATTTTGGTGCACTCATTAACCAGAGCAATGTACACTGTACCCATTGTGTAGTCTTTCATCCCTCACCCCCTCTTTCACCATTTCCTCTTCCACCAAAGGTTGGAAAGTCTCGGCTGTGTCTTGACCTCTGAGAGCCTGTCCCAGATGACTTGGGCAGACCATCTGCTGGACCAAGTTCTCACCCCAGCCACTCTCACTTTGCCTCAGGTGCTGTGTTAGTCTGTTTGTGCTGCTTTAACAGAATTCCTGAGACGGGAATTTATAACGAACAGAGATTTGTTTCTTATGGTTCTAGAGACTGGGGAGTCCAAGGCTACATCTGCTGTGTCATCCCACAGTTGAAGGTGAAAGGGCAGGAGAACACGCAGGCAGGCTCACGGACGTGACAGACAGCCACAGAGTCATCACCCGTGCTGGGCGGGAATTAATGAGGGCAGAGTCCTCTTGACCTGACTATCTTCCATTAGGCCCCACCTCCCAGCATGGTTGCGCCGGGGACTCAGTTTCCAAATCTGCTCTTTGAAGAATACATACAAACCACAGCAGGCCCCAGGAAATCGTCCTCAATCCAGGCAGACATTTCAACATGCAGCTGTTACGTGCTCTTCTGGGCTTGGCCTCATTCATTCACTTCCTAGCCATTTATTGTGTGCTTACTATGTGCTAGACCCTGTTCCCAGCTCTAAGGAAAACGGAATTCTGTCAGTGATTCCTAGTCTTGGCTGCAAGCTGAGATCACCTGGGGAGCTCTTCTTTTCTCTTTCTCTTTCTCTCTTTCTTTCTTTAAAGAAACACAGATGGAAAAGTTAATTTTATGTTTTTAATCCGTCTCTTAGGCCAGCATCATACTTGATGGTGAAACTCGAGTATTTCCATCTAAGAGGGGGTTCCAGGCATGTGTGGGATAACTACTTGAGTCTACTACGTGGAGCCCCTCTTCTGTGATGGGTAGCGAGCCCTAAACCCTCCTGCTCCAGACCCGTGACTGTCCAGTCACTTTCTGTCTACAACAGTCTTCTTGGTATCTAGGACTCAGACCTATTTATTTCAAGACTGATTCCAAACTTGATTCTTTCCCTCTTATCCCTACAGGGCAGACCAGACCAGTCCGTGGCCATGGCTGCTGAATGGGGGCAGTGAGGGCATGTGGGCTGCTTCCTACCACTCCTGCTTTTCTTATTCCCTTTTCAAAATTCCTTTCCTTCCCCCTTTAGAGAGCCTCCCTCCTCCCCACCGTGGTGAGAGAGGCAGACGAGACCTGATCACAGGACCAGCTGCCCCCTGATAGGTTTCATATAGATTGTGGGGAGCTTCTCTTCCTAGGTAATAAATCATTATCTATTATTAGATTAGAACATTATTAGAATGTCACCATTTTGCAACCCCCTGGTGAAATAGAGGTTCAAAGTAATGGTCTTCAATGACTGCCAACATTACAGAGAGACAACTAGACATTATTTGCCTTCTGAGGGAGGTGCACACACACTCTTGTGGCAATCTTGCCAAAAAATAGCCAGTATCTAATCAGGTTTGTGTCCTGAACCACCACGGTATCAAAAATACAGAGTTCGCAAGACTCTATTCAATAACACAGGGGTCCAATCAGCAACGTCCGTACAGGAAACCTACGAGACAACCTGACCTCTTCAACACATGAACTGCAAAGAAGAAAAAAATACCTGTATCTGCCCTGAGGTTTGCAGATGATAGGATGCCTGGGATCTGCTTTACAGCGACCTGCTGGGGGGAGGTTTGAGATGTGAGTGACACAGCTGGCCAGGCTGATTACTGGGGAGGTGGGTACCTGTGCCCGTCAGACTGTTCTCTCTATTGTGGTGTGTATAGCAAAGTTTCCGTAATGAAAACATATGCAGGGGATGCCCACATTTATTTTGATCACAAAGCTGGTTTTCTCTGGGGCATCCCACTGTGGGTTCTGAGGCTTTAGACACAATAGGAATGTGTCTAAATGTGTCTATGAGGTTTTCAGATCATTGAGACACCAACGTTTTTTAGATAGAGTTTTTCCGAGACACCAACTTTAATCCATGGACAACCAACCAGGAAATTCTCAGATGCTTTTTACCTCTCTCTGTGTTAGATACTTCGGGGACAACTGACAGATTTGTAAGAATAGAAAGTAATGGAATGAGGACAGCCAGCCCTGAGACCACTGCACACAACCATTGCTTGTCAGGATCTGTCATGACCCATGCCCAGCGCTTTCCAAGCAAAGCTCTATTTGTTCCTCACCACAGACCTAAAAATGGGTCTTGTGCACCCCAGTTTGCAGATGGGGAGATGGGGCGTGGGGTGCAGAGGGGTGCAGAGGTACGAACCCAGGTGGCCTCTGAGTTGGGAGCTCTGTCTGGGGCCACCTGCTCCTGACTGGGAGGCAGCCCGGGGTAGAGCTCGCTGTGATGGTGTGGCTCGGATGTTCCACCTGCCTCAGATGATTGTGATTCTTTGCAGGGCATGGCGCAGGCACACCTGAGTCCCCAGCCCAGCGCTGCCCCCAGCCAGCCCCGTGTGTTCAAGCTGGTTCTCCTGGGAAGTGGCTCCGTGGGCAAGTCCAGCCTGGCTCTCCGGTACGTGAAGAATGACTTCAAGAGTATCCTGCCTACGGTGGGCTGTAAGTGAGGGGCAGAGCATGCTTTGTTGGTTTTCAGTGCAGAAGTCCAGGCCACTGACCCACACCTGGGGCAGATGGGGATGAGGCCCGCCTAGGAATCCCCACACTGTCCTGGAGTCTTGTACTGCCCGTATCCAGTGCATGAGGGGAAGGGGTGATGTCCATGGGGGCAGCCACAGAATCTACAAAGGCAGGAAGTGCCCTTGGCTCTGGGTCAGGTTTCAGCTCAGCTGGAGTCTGCAGGGAGTGGAGATTCAGGGGTAGGATCTCTGGCCCAGAAAGGTCAGGCTGGGTGTGAGGAATTATGCTGGCAGAAGGGAGAGCCCAGAAGAAGCCTCCTGGACTCTGGCCACTCAGTGACCCAAACCAGCTGTCCTCTCCCCGCGCCCTGGCCGCCCTCCTGCTAACACTGCTCCCTTGCTTAATTTACCCCACAGCACCTTCCTTCCTGCCTGGACTTGGTTTACCAGTCTGGCCTGGATCATTGTTGGGGGTGGGCAGGGAGGGAGGCCTTCTCGCTGTGTTTCTTGAAAAGGCTAACCCGTCATTAATCTCAGGAGTAGGGGCGTCTGCAGGCTGCTGGCCTCCTTCCCATCCTGCTGTGGGCACACCCTGCCTTGGCAGTGAAACGCAGTTTTCACCTGAAATAGGGAAAGCCATGTTCTGGGTAACATGTGCAGAATCAGAGACTCCGTTTCAGATTCGGACTCTGACATGGATGAGCTGCCCTTTCTCCAAATTCACTCACTCACTCATTCACTCATCTAACAGGTGTCTGTTGAGCGTGGACTCTTTTCCAGGCCTGTGTTAGGTGCGGAGGATTCTACAACCAGCTAAACAGATGCACCAAACACAGAAACACAATTGTAAAATGTGGCACATGGCGTTAGCTATTAGGGAATTTTCTCAGGGGGGTGGGTCCTGAAGGATCCCCAGGGGATACATGGGGATCGGCAGGGGTCTGTCTGGCCTGACTCCCAGAGCTAGTGGTGAGAAGGGCTGAGTGATGGGGAGAGGCTGTCTGCAGAGGCTACCCTGGGGAGAGAGAGTCAGAACTTGCCTGGGGTGGGCCATGCAGTCCTCTTTTCCATTAGCAAGGAGGTCTGCACCCCTCACCCATGATATTGGACTCAGCTTCCTTTAAACATATATCAAAGGGCTGAGGCTGGCCTGATGGTGGCCTCAGTTGAGAACAGAGAATACAGATGGGGGCCTCACCAGGCCTGGATGTTGCGGGCTCTGTACCTGGGTAGCTGGTATTCAAGATGCAGAGGCCTGTATGTCTCATTCTATTCCTGGTCCTCTGCCTGTCCCCTCAGGGGTCATCCCCCTGCCAGTAGCTTTCAGATGAAAGCCAGGGTCTCCCTTCCTCCAACACCCTCTCCCCGGGTGTATCTCCTCTCTCCGAGGGGAGAACTGTCCTCTAGGCTGGACTCTTCCTTTCACCCAGGAGTGGTGCTTGGTGTGTTTGTTCCCACTCTGAGTCTCTGTGATGGGACGGGGTGGGAGGCTGTGGACTGTGGCCATGGCACAGAGGCGAGAGGAGGACAGCCAGATGAGGTTAGCCTGTGGCTCACAAGCCGCCTTCGATCCATCAGCCTCCAAGCCTGGCGTCCTCAGTTTTGTACTGAGTACCTCTGTGTGTTGGCAGCTGTGCTGGGTTGAGGGCAGAAATGTGGGAAGCTCCTTTCTTCGCCGTTGGCTGAGTCCCCTGTGGGAGCGATGGTGTCCTCTGCTTCCATCCGAGTGTCTGTGTCATACCTGAGATATTACAGCCTTTGGAGGTGGATGTTACTGTAACTACGAGTAGATGTTATACATTTACTATTATGTTAATTTTTTTCGAGACAGAGTCTTGCTCTGTCACCTGGCCTGCAGTGCGGTGGCGTGTTCTTGGCTCACTGCAACCTCTGCCTCCCGAGCTCAAGCCATCCTCCCACCTCGGCCTCCTGAGTTGCTGTGACCACAGGCACGTACCACCATAGCAGGCTAATTTTTGTATTTTTTTTGGAGATGGGGTTTTGACATGGTGTGCACCGCTGTACCCGGCCTATGTTAATTATTTTATCATTATTGTTTTTTGAGATGGAGTCTCGCTCTGTTGCCCAGGCTAGAGAGCAGTGGCGAGACCTTGGCTCATTGCAACCTTCACCTCCGAAGTAGCTGGGATTGTGCGCACCACCACGCCCGGCTGATTTTTGTATTTTTAGTAGAGACGGGGTTTCATCATTTTGGCCAGGCCGGTTTCGAATGCCTGACTTCAAGCAATCCACCATCCTCGGCCTCCCAAAGTGTATGCTAATTATTAATCATCACTATAATCATTATATGATCATATATTATTATAAATGTGGATATTGCTAGTTTTAGGACGAGGAGCTCGGATGTGCTCATTTCTTTAACCAATGTGTTTTGGGGAAGAGTGATCTGTGTTGTATAAAAACCCTTTGAGAGCAGACACTCCTGCTTCTTTTGTCACATGTGGCTTCAGCTTTTATAAAGAACACTGGCTCCTGCCCAGGGGAGAGGGTGGGCCAGGAGCAGAGCCTCAGAAGAGAAGGGAGTACTGTCCTCACAGGCAGCCTGAAAATGCAGGAGGCAGCACGCCCAGTGTGTGGCCGCAGGAACTCCAAGGGAGGGAGGGGGTGGATGGCCACAGTCACGTCACGCCGCTCCTTCCCTCTGCCTTGATGTTTTCCCTGTGAAATGGGGGTCTGAACACCTTCCTGGAGTGGGCTCTCCATGAAAGGTTGCTGTTGCCTTGGGTGGCTTAAGGACATCACCAAGGCTGGCCCTGTCCGAGGGGTGTCACTTCAGGCCAGGGCCAGCCTACGGGAGGATGGACTTGGGTCCCTGGGGCCCTCCTGAGGGTCTGGTTCAGTTGAGGGGTGTGTGGGGTGGGTCCCGCAGCAGGAATGTGACACAGGAGGTGGGTTTAGCTCCTGGCAAGACACAGTCCAGCCAGAGGAAGCAGGAAGCAGAGGCAGAAGGTGACGGACTGGAGCCCTGAAGCCGGAAAGGCGCGGAGGGGAGTCCAAGCTAGCACAGCCTTCTGCACACCCTGCCAGGGCCTGTGGCGGAGCTGCCAGCTTCAGGAGCCGCTGCTGTGGCAGGGATGGGGGTTGGCACTCCCCATGAACTGCCGCCACCATCCTAATGGCCACAGCAGGGGAGCTCTGTGTGCTGCTGGCTTGCTGTGTGACCCTAATGGCCACAGCAGGGGAGCTCTGTGTGCTGCTGGCTTGCTGTGTGACCCTAATGGCCACAGCAGGGGAGCTCTGTGTGCTGCTGGCTTGCTGTGTGATGGCGATGTCTTTTGGAAGGATGGTGACATCTAGTGCTTGTGCGCATATTTGCCAGCTGAAGCCACGACTAACCCCAGACGTATTGGGCTTTTTTCAGAAAGGGGATGGTGACAAACAGGTACTGGGCACATTCAACTTGGCACCAGCTCACTTCCCTCCTAAACTGAGAATATGGCTGACGTCCTAGAGCTCTCAGAAAATACATTTCCATTTCATGTTCCTTTCAATTTGTCATCAGCTCACTATTTTTACAAAAAAAAGCCAAGTGCTACAGTGAGGGCTTCAGTGAGCAGAATCAGCCCTTTATTTAAATTAAAAGGTAAAGAAGCAAAATCACTTACATGATGTTAACATCTAGCAGAGAGCCTGGACGCAGTGGCTCACATCTGTAATCCCAGCACTTCAGGAGCCCAGGGCAGGCGGATTGCCCAAGCTCAGGAGTTCAGGACCAGCCTGGGCAGCATGGTGAAACCCCATCTCTACTAAAAAGAAAAGAAAATAAAGACGATTTAGTAGAGGACTTTTTTTTTTTTGATAGGGTCTGTTGCAGTGGTATGAGCACACCTCACTGCAGCCTCATCCTCCTGGGCGCAAGTTCTCCACCTCCACCTCTTCAGCAGCCGGGACCACAAGTGTGTGCCACTATACCCAGCTAAATTTTGTATTTTTGTAGAGACAAGATTTCACTATGTTGCCCAGACTGGGAACTCCTGGACTAGAGTGATCGTCCCTTCTTGGCCTCCCAAAATGCTGGGATTACAGGCATGAGCCACTGCACCCAGCCAGAAATTTATTTTTTAATCACATTTTGGCTTTAGCTGCGGAGATATAGAAAATGTGGTCAGTGGGTTTCTGAAAAAGGATATGATGATAAATGCATGCCGTCTTCTCGGATACCTGTGCAGGGCCCACGTGAGGGCCTTAGAACCCGCTGCAGGGAGGAGAAGGTTCTGTGTTCTGTAGGCAGCTGAACGTTGACTGTTATCACACATTATCATTTCTTGGACTAAAACCCTTGCCCTCCTTGGAAATTTGCTGGGATTTTACATTAGTTTAAATTTAACTACCAGCCATCATTTTATTTTCTTTTTTATTTTTTGAGACAGAGTCTTGCTCTGTCTCCTGCCGTCCGTGCTGCAGTGCAGTGGGGCAATCTCGGCTCACTGCAACCTCCACCTCCTGGGTTCAAGCAATTCTCCTGCCTCAGCCTCCTGAGTAGCTGGGACTACAGGCTCATGCCAGCAAGCCTGGCTGATTTTTGTATTTTTGATAGAGACAGGGTTTCACCATGTTGGTCAGGCTGGGCTTGAACTCCTGACCTCAAACAATCCACCCACCTCGGCCTCCCAAAGTGCTAGGATAACAGGCGTGAGCCACCGCGCCCAGCCTCCAGCCATCATTTTCAATATGGAAAGGAAAATATGAGAGGCTAAGATTGGTAAATGGAGAAAGCAAACCTGAGTTTTATGCTCATGTGTTCCCTGTCATAGCTTTTAAGATATAACCAAATTCAAAGTGAGAAATGTGATTTCAAGTGGTAGGAAACAGAAAGACATGGATAAAAGGCCCACATTTTGAGGTAAGTCCACGAAGAGCAAAGAGGACAGGAAGAAGCAGCAAAATTCACGTGCCCTGTCTCTCCTTGCTCAGTGGGTTTGACGCCACCCTGGGTGGAGCAGCAAAATTCACGTGCCCCGTCTCTCCTTGCTCAGTGGGTTTGACGCCACCCTGGGTGGAGCAGCAAAATTCATGTGCCCCGTCTCTCCTTGCTCAGGGGGTTTGATGCCACCCTGGGTGGAGGGCACCATTAGCCCCTCCTACGGAAGAGGAAGGAAGCTGCGACTTAGAAGGCTGAAGCAAGCTGCCAGAGGTCACACAGCTGATGGGTCTACATCCATGGCCTGTGCACGGCCTTCATTCTGGCGCTATTGTCAATCCAGCTGAGCACCTGCTGTGTGCAGAGGCTTATAGCCCGTTCATACGCCCTGTGCAAGCTGGAAATCACTGGTCCTACTGTCTGGATGGAGACTGTGGCTTTGTGTGACCTGGAGAGTTTGTCTGACTTCAAGTTCCTGGACCTGCAGTAAACTGCAGGACTCGGGCAGAAGAGCCCAGATGGTGGCTTCCGTTTAGGAAGAGATTATCTCATGAGAGAGAAGCATGGTTTGCTGCGCCATGCTGGAAATCCCTGTGCAGACATGCCTCTCTGTGCAGCCATGCCTCTCTGTGCAGCCATGCCTCCCGATCTCTGTGTAGTGGGTGCAACTGTGTTTTTCCCTCCCGCAAAGATGTGATCAAGTCCTAACCCCCAGAACCTATGAGTACAACTTCATTTGGAGAGAGGTAGTTTTGCAGATGTAACTAATTAAGGCCAACAAGCTGAGACTTATTGGCCCCTGAATGGGGCAGGATGGCCCCTGAGTCCAGTGACTGATGTCGGTATGAGAAGGGGAGAGGACACAGCTACCGAGGGGCAACCATGTGAAGACGAGGCAGGGATGCAGGTGATGCAGCTGCCAGGAATGCCAGGGTTGCCCGCAGCCCCTGAAGCAGAAGGGAGGCTCGTGGTGCTTAATCATGTCAGCTGCAGGACACTCACACACTGTCCTTGGAGTGAAAGTCTTCATTTTAAACATGTGGATCTGTTTGCCAGAATCTCCCCAGCAGACTCCAAACCCAAGCCAGGGTCTAGGCAGGGTAGTGGCTTTCACAGGAGCCCGTCCGTGCTGGTGGCTTCTCCATGCCCCGGACACCTTGTGTTCCCCGTCCCCAATTCTGTGTGTAACACATCCCTGACAAGCCACACACAATGGGGAAAACATTTTGGAGATCTATAAAACAATCATTTAAAAATCACATCGCTTTGGAAAGCAAAAGAAATCTTTACATGAACAGTGCATTGCCCAGTATATTAAAGTGCTTAGAGGCAGTGTGTGTGTGTGTGTGTATGTGTGTATGTGTGTGTATGCGTGTATGTGTGTGTATGTGTGTATGTATGTGTATTTGTGTGTATGTGTGTATGTGTATGTGTGTGTATGTGTGTATGCATGTATGTGTGTATGTATATGTGTGTATTTGTGTGTGTGTATGTGTGTGTATGTGTTTGTGTGTGTGTGTATGTGTGTATGTGTGTGTATGTGTGTGTATGCATGTATGTGTGTATGTATATGTATTTGTGTGTGTGTGTGTATGTGTGTGTATGTGTTTGTGTGTGTATGTGTGTGTGTATGTGTGTATGTATATGTGTGTATTTGTGTGTGTGTGTATGTGTGTGTATGTGTTTGTGTGTGTATGTGTGTGTGTATGTGTGTATGTATATGTGTGTATTTGTGTGTGTGTGTGTGTGTATGTGTTTGTGTGTGTGTGTGTGTGTGTGTGTGTGTGTGTGTAGCAGGTACATGAGTGAGTAAGACAAAGCTCCTGCCCTCCTGGGGGAGACAGGTAGAGAACGCAGGAGGCCTCGCCTTTGCGTGTGTTTGGGATGCTGGGATGCTTCCATGGAGGCAGGTAGCCCAGCAGCCATCCTGGGGCTGATGCCCAAAGATCTCAGAGGACATCAGAAGGATGCCATGCAGAGGGGACAGTAGAGAAGGGGGTTTGGGGGGAGCAGCATCGGGAAAGTGGGGAGGGTAGCAGGAGGTGAGGAAGGACTTGGAGGAGCCTGTGCAATTGTGGCTGGCCCTGTGCAAGATGGGCCTGGCAGGCAAGGGGCCAATGGGCCGGGGGTGTTCAGGGCTCTAGGGGCCCCAGAGCCCAGCTGCGTCGCTGGATGCAGGGCTGTGTCGGATGCCAGGTTACTGGAGACCCTTCCCTGGCACGCATAGCCCAGAGCTTTTGTGTTACGTCCTGGAAAGACTGATCTTCCCAGCCAAAGCCTCTCCGAAGGGCTCATAGCAATCATTCCTGATGCTTTGCTTGATGAGGAAGCCTCCATGTCCCAGAAGAGCTGTTTGCTCTACCTCCTGGCCATGTGGGCATAGGAGACATGTGGCCGGCTGCCCCTCTGAGCCCATTGCTGTGCCTGTGGGAGGCATGTGTCCGGCTGCCCCTCTGAGCCCATTGCTGTGCCTGTGGCTTGCCGTGGTCCTACCTGAGCAGCATGTGGGCACCTCATCCTCTGAGTAAGCTCTCTCGGCCTCCCTGTTTCAGGTGCGTTCTTCACAAAGGTGGTGGATTTGGGCACCTCCTCTCTGAAGCTTGAGATCTGGGACACAGCTGGCCAGGAGAAGTACCACAGTGTCTGCCACCTCTACTTCAGGGGTGCCAATGCTGCAGTTCTGGTGTATGACATCACCAGGAAGGTAGGGCCTGCCTCCAGGTGTGTCCCACTCTCCTTCCTACGGTGTACTCACAAAACAGGGGCCCCATTTGTGAGCACTAGTCACCTTGTCCGGGAGGGCCTCCTGACAACCCCCATCTTCCTCCACAGCCAGGGTTCTCCTCCTCTGTGGTCTGCAGAGCACACGCCATAGCCATCTGCCACTCAGTAGTTCCTGGTGCTGTGTTGGGGTCAGGGTGTGAGGTGATGGCCAGTCTCTAGACTCTCTTGCACAAAATGGTCCTTTGAGGATATCTAGGAGCTCAGGGTCTGACCTGAAATACCCCGTGGCTGGCAGTCTCCTGGGCCTGGTCAGGGTGAAGGAGCTGATGTGTGTCCCAGCAGTTTGCTGCCTCACTGCAAAGGCCACCCAGGGCAGGAACAACCCCTCCTCAGAGAAACAGAGCAGCCCTGCAGGCCCGTCCACGGCCAGTTGGATTCTGTGACATTTTACACAACACGACCAGCGACAGGCTTTCCCCCCGGAATAGCCCATGGAGACCGCCTGTAAGTTGCGTTTGACATGACCTTCTTCTGTCCTAGGATTCCTTCCACAAGGCTCAGCAGTGGCTGAAGGACCTGCAGAAGGAGCTGCAGCCGGGAGAAGTCCTGGTGATGCTGGTCGGCAACAAGACGGACCTCAGTGAGGAGCGGGAGGTGACCTTCGAGGTACTGCCCAGGAGCCCCTGCTGTTCTCTTCTACAGGTGGAGGAGAGAGCCCTGCCCACCTGCATCAAGACCTTGGCACTCACACGTTCACACAGGCACACCCACGCCTGCATGTACTCACACATGTGCATACGCACCTGCACACCTCCACATGCCCACATGCACTTGCACACACACGCACGCCCCCACATTCACTCACACTTGCACCCACACACATTTACAAACACACACACACATACAAACACACAACTTCTTTTTTTTTTTTTCGAGATGGAGTCTGGCTGTGTAGCCAGGCTGGAGTGCAGTGGCGCAATCTCGGCTCACTGCAACCTCTGCCTCCCAGGTGCAGGTTGAAGCAATTCTCCTACCCCAGCCTCTCAAGTAGCTGGGATTACAGGCATGAGCCATCATGCCCAGCTAATTTTTGTATTTTTTAGTAGAGATGGGGTTTCACCATGTTGGCCAGTCTGGTCTTGAACTCCTGACCTCGTGATCCACCCACCTCGGCCTCCCAAAGTGCTAGGATTACAGGCGTGAGCCACTGCACCCAACCCAAACACACAACTTTCTATCTGAATTTCTCTTTTGGTCAAAGATTTCTTTCTGGTCTTTCCTGGAAAACTTGGGCCCAGGGACAATGACAGTTCAAGGCCAGTGGTGGAGAAGCAGGCACAGGGTGGCCGGCGGAGGGAAGGGCAGGGTGGCGGCTGCAGGGTGGGCTCGGCCTGAATGAGAAACAATCCAGTTCCTCAGCAGAGCTCCCTTCCCCAGTCGGCTCCCAGAAGGGGGCTCTGTGCAGATGGAGCCCCCTCACCCGAGTTCTGTCAGGTGGAGGCGGCGGTCACCCAGCTGTCGCTGTTGTCTCTCTTCCATGGCATCTTACCTCCCACCATATTTAGGACGAAGACCACGTAAGCAGCTGCAGAGAAGTGGCTGGCGGGGAGGCCCCACACACACTAGAGGCTGGTGCAGGGGCAGACCTGACTCAGGGCTTAGGCTGACCTCCATGCCTCCCAAAGAGAAAGGCCCCAGCTTCGATGGAGGCTGTGGAGAGATGGAGAAGTGGGGTGAAGAATTTGGAGAATCTGTGGGGAGAGCAAAGGGAGCAAAGGGAGGCAGCCTCAGTCTGAGCCCTTGTTACAAGGCTGGGTGGGGAGGAGAGGAGCCTGGCAGCAGAGCTGTGTCCTCTGAGAGTGACTAGATGGGCTGGGTGCTTGGGCAGGCACAAAAACATGGGCGTGAGGTAAAGTTCTGGAGGGCCAGTGGGCAGCCAGGGTGGGTTTGGAGCGTCTGCCTGGGGAGCTGGCTGAGGAGCAGCTGGCTCAGGCTCTCTGGGTCTGGGTAGGAGGAGTGCATGCACAACTGTGGATGGTGCCAGGGCTGTGGGCATGGCTGGCCATGCCTGCTGCCAGCTCCATGTCTGGCAGGACAGTCAGGAGCCTGAGCTGTGCCCCCAGGATCTGCCACAGGCTCCTCTTCCAGGGAGAGTCATGGAGGCTAGGGGAAGGTCCTGCCCACAGGGGCCCCCATTCCTCGGCCACCCCTGACTCCTGGGCGAGACAGTGACCTTCCCACGAATGCTTCTCTCCTGGCCTCCCACTGCAGGCCTGCTGTCTTCCAGTTTGCCCTTGCTCTGGGACAGCCTTTCCTCCCTATAGGAGGGAGACCCATGTTGGAAAATGAGGGCTCCCCAGAGGAAGGGCCCAGGTGGGCGCCGTCCAGGGGCCTCCCTCTGCCTCTCATGTTTCCTGGGTTCTCAGTTGGTTCTCTGCCCAGCATTGGAGCCCACGGTTGCCCACAGCCATGGTGGGAGGGGAGCCTCATGGTGGGAGTGTGGCTTCCCAGGCCCTGCAGGAGGAGGAAGGCTGCCGCCAGCCAGCTAGAGGAAGAGCCTCTTCCAGGGATCACACTCTGCCCCTCCTGGTCCTGGCTGCTCAGGAGTGCCAAGAAATGCGACCTGGACGCGAGGCATGCAGGAGTGCAGTCTGCACCACCTCGACTTTCTTGGGTCTTGCTGTTGGGAGTGAAACAGGTGTTCTTAGGAAACTCTCTTATAAACAACACTGGATTTTGTGGCTGTTTGTTTCAGGAAGGGAAGGAGTTTGCTGACAGCCACAAGTTGCTGTTCATGGAAACTTCAGCTAAACTGAACCATCAGGTGTCGGAGGTGTTCAGTGCCGTGGGTGAGTGATCTCCCCACGGGCTAGACAAGGTGGAGGGTGCTCGTCCCTGACCGACTTCCCTGGGTCCCCTTTGCTGGTGATGCAAGATCCCATAGAATGTCTCTAGGGACTGTACGGTGACCAGGAAGGGCAGGAAGCCCTCGTTCTATGGTTCTTTGGTTCTATGGGTCCCTGGCTGCTGAGCTGCACGTAGGAGGAATGGGTCCCTGGCTGCTGGGCTGCAGGGCTGTGCTGGGCGGGGGGACTTCCCTCCCTAACCGGCCCCCGCCTCTTGCCATTTACAGCTCGAGAGCTACTGCAGAGAGACAACAGGGAGGGTCAGGCTCCACGGGGGGACGCAGATGTGGCTCTGAATGAGAGGCCAGCGCAGCAGGCCAAATGCTGTGGACAGTAGGTGCAGCCTCCCCTGGGGGCTGTGGGAAGATGCCCCCAGCCTGGGCCATGGCCGCCTCTGCATAGTTCTGATTCACTGTTGGCGCTGGGTTGCTCCCAAGCCCTAGAGGTTTCTGGAAGTTGGCCCCCTTTATAAAAACCACTTCCCACAGCCAGTGGGAACCGCCAGGGGAGGAGCTGGTGTCACATGACTCCCAGAGGGTGCTGTGTCCCGTCCCCACCCACACCATCTGATTCCCGGATACCTATGCCGGCCCCGCCTGGACGGTGGCCCCCTCAGCCAGGCGGCCTCTGGCCACAGAGGAAGCAAGGATTGGAAAAGTCCCTGGAGCACAGCGACGGTGGAAAGATGCCTCTCACCTGATCTGGGTGGGGGTGCTGGCCTGGAGCCTGGGCTCACCTGCTTCTGGAGGTGCGGGGAGCAGGCCCGGATGGAGGTGGCAGTGCCAGGAAGAAGCACAGCGATAACCGAGCATGGGGTGGGTCCAGGACTAACGCCTCTGGGAAGGGCAGCTGGGGGCAGTGGCTTTGGTTCCCTCCCATGCTCTCCTGGCTGGAAATGTGGCGAAGCTGAGTTTCTATCCAAAGAGTAGGAAGATTCGTTTAACCTGAGATGTAAGTTGTACTGCACATGCATTTTTTTTTTTTCCCAAAAATTAAATTGCTTTTGACAATATGGCTTTTGGAAGTTTTCTAGTACAAGGCAGGGCCCCGAGCCTGATGGATTGTTGTAGATATTTCTGTCTGTATTCTGGGAGGCTCCTGTGAAGTAAATGAGGAAGCAGACCCATGTGCAGGCTGTGACTAACGTGGGCCTGGCCCCCCTCTCTGGATGGGACGCATTCCCAGATGGCGACACTCCATCCTGACTGCCTGCCTTTGCAGAGAAACCTATGTCTTAGTCTGTTTTTGTGTTGCTATAAAGGGATACTTGGGGCTGGGTGATTTATAAGGAAAGAGGCTTACTGGGCTCGTCGTTCTGCAGGTGGCAAAGACCGCATGGGGCCAATGTGCATCCTGGTGCGGCCCCAGGCTGCTTCCACTTCTGGCGGAAGGCAATGAAAGCTGGTGTGCAGAGGTCACACGGGGAGAGGAAGTAAGAGAGTGTAGGGGGAGTTCCCACTCTTTTCAACAACCAGCTCTGGGGAGGCTCTTATAGGCGCTGCTGGAGTAAGCTCACTCATTACAGCTAGGGCGGCACCAAGCGGTTTACGAGGGACCCACCCCATGAGCCAGCACCTCCCATCAGGCCCCGCCTCTCACACTGGGGGTCAGATTTCTTCCTTCCTCCTTTTTCTTCTTCCTCTCTTCCCCTTCTTTCTGCTGTCTTCATTCCTACTCCTCTTCTTCTTTCTTCACCTTTCTTCTTCTTTTTAGAGATGGAGTCTGACTGTCACCCAGGCTGGAGTGCAATGGCATGATCTCAGCTCACTGCAATCTCTGCCTCCCAGGTTTGAGCGATTCTCCTGCCTCAGCCTCCTGAGTAGCTGGGACTACAGGCATGCGCCACCATAGCCACCTAATTTTTGTATTTTTTAGTAACAATCGGGTTTCACCATGTTGGCCCAGCTGGTCTCCACCTCCTGGCCTCAGGTGACTCACCTGCCTCCACCTCGGAAAGTGCTGGGATTACAGGTGTGAGCCACCACATCTGGTCCTGGGGTCAGATTTCAACATGAGGTTTGGAAGGGACAAATATCCAAACGGCAGCAACCCAGCCCCTGTTTGGGAAGAAAAACCCCACAAAATGTTTTCCTGTTGGGTCTCTTTCTGGACACTGCTGGGGCAAGGTTATTTCAAGTATTTTTGGAAGGTGATGTTGGTTTTCATCCTTGCCCTTGGGACTCTGATAAGCAGGTGTGAGTTTTAAACAAGACGTTGTTATCCACCTGGAAAACGTGGCATCATTATTGGCTGCTGTAAGGATCAAGGCAGCAGAAAGCAAAGTGCCTTCCATTTGATGCTGAGCTTCAAGGGGAAAGGGCTCTGTGCCTGGAGCTTCCCTGGCTCCACCAGGCTTCCCTCTGCTCTCGTTCACTTGGCATAGAGATGCCAGGCTGTGACCTTCAGTGGGGTCCAGACCATGGGGAGCCCTGCCAGGGGGCCAGGGAGAGGACACAGAGACCTCAGAGAGGGTGCGGGGCACAGCCCCTCCTGGCCAGCCTGCGTTTCTCAGCGTGCAAACCACAGTTTCATAACAGTTCCTCCCTCATGATCCCTGGCCTCGTTATCCTAACAGGAGGAGCCACCTGGATCCACTGGGCCCCTGGAAGATCCATCTTTCAATCTTGGGGACAAGGAGCCTCTTGGGTCTCCCTTGGAGTGTGGTTTTCTGGGGCTAGTGTGACTGAAATGACCTTCTCACGTGAACTTTACTAGACAAATGCAGACCAGATTTCACATACCTCTCTCATGAGCTCCAAGAAAAGCTAAAGGATGAAAACAGTAGCTTCTGAGAGCACTTGTTCCCTTGGTTTTCACGAGCACTGTCCTCACGATTTCACAGGTGAAATCCGACTCTGTTATTGCTATGCACATTGCAATTTACAGGTGCTAATAAAGTTGGACCATTTTCCATGCAAGGATTCCCTCGCCGATGAAGAACATGAAGTGTGAGTCCCCAGTGTGCTAGGCTGTGTCCTCGTGCCCCTGTGTCAGCGGGCCCTGAGCTGGGGTGGGGACCCACCTTGGGGGCGGCAGGAGGCTGGGGTTGCCCGTGGCCACCAGACGGCGCTCCAGCATTGCGTAAGGCCGGCCCCACGGTCCTAGGGTCCTGAGTGCTTGCTCTGCCAAAGAGCAAAACGGGGGGGGCCCTCAGAGGAACTGCAGAAGAGTGGCCGGATGATGCTGACGGGGAGAAACACCAGGGGGGTTTGTAGGGTGCCTGGATGCCTGACTGCGTGTTTCCCCCTCTGTCTTGGCGGCTACTGTGGCTATGCCAGAATTTATTATTAAAATCTATCCTTTTGCTCTCCAGTTGGTTTGTAAATTTTTCTCCAAAAATAAATAAACAAAAAGCAGGAGTTGCAATTCTCACATCTGATAAAATAGATTTCAAAGCAACAAAGATACAGTGGTAAAAGGATCAATGCAACAATAAGAGATCTTAATACCTAGATACATAAGACCCATAACGAGATTCAGACTCAACGAGACAGAAAATTAATAAGGATATCCAGGACTTCAACTCAGATCCGGAACAAGTAAACTCAATACATATTTATAGAGTTCTCCATTTTAAATACACAAAATACTGATCGACCATTATTAATACCCATGTTTAGAATGAAGCAATATTCCTGTTCTCTCTCCCTCTTTTTCTTCCTCTTTCTTCCTCTCCTTCTCTCTTTTTACTTTTCAACATCCTAGTTCCTCACCTCTACTCAATACATTCCTCCGAACACCTGATTCCTTGTGATTCTCCCGTCCCACTAAAAAAAAAAAAAAAAAATTAACTTAAAATAAATAAACAAATAAATAAATAAAATATATTCTTTGACTCCTTCCGGAATCATTCTATGGCCTCCCCAAGAGTAGACATCTGTCGTGGTGCTGGACCTCTGGGTCTCTGCTCACCCGGGACTGTGCCCCTTTCCCTTCCTCCATCACCACTAGGCAGGAGGGCTCAACCCTGCACTGGAGTCACCTGGGGAGCTGCAGAAAGCCCCCACCTAGGCAGGGCAGGTTGGCTCACGCCCGTAATCCTGGCACTTTGGGAGACTGAAGCGGGAGGACCACTTGAGGCCAGGAGTTTGGGACCAGCCTGGACAACAAAGGGAGACCCTGTTTCTACAAGAACAACAGAAAGGAAAAGTTAGCCGGGCGTGGTGGTGTGCACCTTAGTCCTGGCTACCCCGGAGGCTGAGGTGGGAGGATTTCTTGAGCCTTGGGGATTGAGGCCACTGCATGCTAGCCTGGGCCCCATCTCAAAAAAGAAAAAAAGGAGCCCCACAGCTGCATCTCACCTGGAGGTTCTGATCCCATCAGCCTGCAAGGGGATTTCTAAATCCTTCCAGGTGAGCGTAGGCAAGGCCTGAGAACCCCAGTGAGAGCAGGGCCTCTGCCCCGACTTCTGTGGGATTCCCAGGGTCCCCTACACTGTCTGGCACACACCAGGCACTCAACACACTTGTATCCAACAAAGGGAGGAAGGCGTGTTTTTTCCTCAGAGACCTAAAGAACAGGCAGGGTTTCCTAAAACTAGCCCCTTCCGCCCCTGACACCTGCGTGTGGAAGGCTCACCTGTGTCAATGCTCCACTACCTTATATTCCGGTCCCAAGACCGTGCTGGGGCGGGGCAGCAGGCAGGAAGGCCCCTTTCTGTGCGCGCACAGGGAGAGGGCTCGGCAAAACTGCAAACATTTGTGTCACAGATGATGCATGATAAATGGCTCCAGGATCCCACTGGCTCCGGACACTGGGGGAGGCTTGTCCGTGTGCCCACCGTCCAGGCTGCTGCTGGGGAAGCAGCTCCAGCCCGGCTTAGCCTGAGTTCGGACCTACCTGTGTCTTCTCGTAAGCTGCTGTTTTCCTGCGGGTGGTGGTAGTGGAGCCTGAAACTTGGTGATGTTGATGAGTGGCCCTGGGAGCCCCTGCTGTCCCAGCCTGTTACTCTAACCTTCTCCCCTCCCCACCCTTCCTTCCTTCCTTCCTTCCTTCCTTCCTTCCTTCCTTCCTTCCTTCCTTCCTTCCTTCCTTCCTTCCTTCCTTCCCTCCCTCCCTTCCCTCTCTCCCTCTCTCCCTCCCTCCCTCCCTCCCTCCCTCCCTTCCTTCCTTCCTTCCTTCCTTCTTCTTTTTGAGACAGAGTTTTGCTCTTGTCACCCAGGCTGGAGTCCAATGGCACAATCTCACCTCATTGCAGCCTCCGCCTCCTGGGTTCAAGTGATTCTCCTGCCTCAGCCTCCGGAGTAGCTAGGACTACAGGCACCTGCCACCACACCTGGCTTATTTTTGTATTTTTAGTAGAGACGGGGTTTCACCATGTTGGCCAGGCTTGAACTCTTGACCTCAGGTGATCTGCCAGCCTTGGCCTCCCAAAGTGCTGGGATTACAGGCGTGAGCATCGTGTGTCTTGCTACCTCTTGACTGTGTTCCCATCCCATTCTTCTGGATGGATCTGTGTCCAGGCCAAGCTTTGGGCTGGAGCGAGCTGGTTAAGCCTGTTACATGGCTGGGTTGGGAGTGGGCTTTGCGGAAGGGGTTTGCACTCACAGAGCCCCCACCTGTGCCAGCTGGCATGCAGGTGCCACTCCCACCGAGCTCAGGAATGAGGTAAGCACTGCTGTCTGGTGGTGTGCAGATGTGGAAACTGAGGCTCAGTGATCCCAGGGGATAAACTCAGTCTCCCAGGTGGTGCAATTATGCCCCCATTGCCAATGTACGCTACACCCGAGGCAGGTTGTGGAGACATCCCCATGTGATTTGAAAGAGACACAGCATGGTGTGGGAGTACTCTAAGTGCAAGTCTCCCTGCCATGGGACAGAAACAATCCATGATGCATCTTCCCTGAGTGAGAGGGAGGCAAGACAGATGGCGATAAAAGGACAGGCAGCTGCCAGGGTTGAGGGAGGGGTGAATAGGCAGAGCCCAGAGGACTTCTAGGACAGTTAAACGTCTCTGCGTGATGCTGGAGCATGTTGTCTTACATTTGTGCAAACCTGCAAGACGTACAGTGTGAAGAGTGGGCTCTGACACACACTGGGTGGGGATGGCAATGTGTCAGCGTAGGTTCCTCCACTGGGACAAAGGCACCCTCAGTGGGGTGCAGGTCGTCGGGAGGCTGCATGGATGTGGGGAAGGGGGTGGATGGGAATTCTCTATACCTTCTACTCAGTTTTGCTGTGAATCTAAAGCTGCTCTGAAAAATAGTATCTAAAAGAAAAAAAGAGGAATGGGGTTGAGAGGGCTGCCCAGGGCTCAGGCGGGGAGCTGTGCCACCTTCCTGTGGGGACGGTGCCTCCAGAGTGTGGCTCGTGGCACCTCCTGGCCTTGTGCCATGCACAGCCTGGGCAGCCACTCAGGGCAGCTTGGGTGTGGGGGTGGCTGTGGGCTGCCGGTGATGAAGGGTGGTTCCATTTCCCAGCTCAGTGCCAGGGGCCCTCTGGCAAGTCACAGAGCCTTTTCTTCCAAAGAAGCTGCTGGGCTCTGAGGTTCTTTCTAGTCTAACGTCCCAGGAGGGAACAACTTCAGAGTCACCACCACACAGTCACAGACGCGAAACTAAAGGAGGCCAGAGCTTTTATTAGGATTGAAGGGAAAGGAGCCCATGAGGGTGAGGAAAGGGCGGGGTGAAGGAGGCTCCAGAGTGACTTTCTTGACAAGCTGGCTGTCACCCATCCTGTGAGGACTTAACGCAACCTTCCAGGGGGAAGCAGGTCAGCTGGGGTCGAAGGCCAGGCTTGGATACGTCCCCTGGGGCTGCCCTCCTCCGACCGAAGCGGCCCACAGGCCTGATCCTGCGACTGACGTACCAGGCAGGATTGATGTCGGGGTCTGGAAAGGAAAGAGCGGGAGCAGACCATGGGCACTGTGCGCTCTGGAGGCAGCAGGGCAGGGGGCACAGGCAGGGCAGAGGGCACAGGCAGGGCAGAGGGCACAGGCAGGGCCTCTCAGCCCAGTTGTCAGGCCGTGCTGGGACCCACCTGAGGAAGAGGCACCCAGAGCTTCTGGCGAGGCCATTTCTGGGCGTGGGCTGGCTTTGGGAAGCAGGAGTTCAAAAAAGCACCAGGACTGATTTCCCTTTTCTCTCCTGCACACCCTTCCCCGCCAGGTTCTCGAGTGACCAGGCTGTACCAGGCCCTGGGGTGAGGTGGGGTGGGGTGGGGAGGCTGACAGACACTCACTGCGGGTCTCCATGGAGTGCTGATGGGTCTGATCTGCAGCCCCGCGCAGAGCCACGCCCAGCATCAGCAGGCACAGGAGCCAGGCCCTCAGCACCTTCATCCCTTGGCTCCTTCTAGGAGGCCCTGCTGGAGGGCGGATCCAAATGGAGAGGATACGGCCTGGGGGAGAAGGGGCAGGAGCAGGGTTACACAGGCATCAGGGTGCATGTGCACAGAGCTGGGACCTTGGGTAGAGTGAGCGCCGTGTGTGTGAAAGGAAAGCATGTGCATGAGTATGTGTGCATGTCAGTGCACAGGTGTATGTGTGTGTATATGTGTACAATAGGGTGTGACCTGTATGCACATGGGTGCGTGCATGTATGAGAGTGTGTGTGTGTGTGTGCATGTGCACCTAGCCACATACAGCTCCACGTGTTACTCTAATCTGTGCTGGGTTGGGAATGAGCACAGAAGTAGCAGTTAAACCTGGCCCTCTGCATGGTCACTTCCCCACCTGTGACCCCATTCTCTCCTCTGTGCAATTAGGGTTAAGTGAAATGCTCATGTGTGCGTCCACCTCTGACCGGCTGGTCATATATGCACTGATGTTCCTCAGAAAACCCCCAGGAGGTGTGCGAGTTAGGCACGTAAACTTGAGCTGTCATGGGACGGCCTTGGGTCTGTCTGCCTGTGTTAGGGAACCGAAGGTGCAGCCAGCCTCTGAGCAGGCTCAGGCTTGTTGCACACCCAGGACAGCAGGTTGGTGGGGAGGAGCCTGGGGAGCTGCACAGGTGGAGGCAGCCACTTGCCCAACCTCAGACATGGTTGGGGAGCTGGGGGGTGCCAAGCCTGGGCTGGGCCTGGGGGCTGGAATCCGGTGCACAGTCCTTTCCCACACGCATCTCATGTCGGGATGTCAGCCGTGTTTGGAAAACTCTGCCTCTACCGTGAAAGTCCTCTCTCTCTCTCTCCCTCCCCCACAAAGAGGCTCCCTTATTTCTCACTTTACATACCGGCCCGAGCCCTCCCGCTGCTTCTGCCTTATCAGCACTCCCCAGCTCCCCTCCAGCCACTTCTGCCTCATCAGCACTGCCCGGCTTCCCGCCGCCCGGTTTCTGCCTCATCAGCTCCCCGCCACCCAGCTCCCTGCCGCC